TTGAATCAACCTTTTCTAAACTATTTAATGCCCCTTTATCAGAAATAACCATCATTTCCACTTCTTCCTCTTCATCAGAACATCAACCTCAGGATTTGGTTTCTAATAATTCTTTCATCAGTAAAAAAAAAAAAAAAAAGGATAACATACTAACATTAATTTATTGTTAACCAAGAATAGAATAACTTTATTGCACATTAACATTAACCATTAATGTAAAAGATTTGCCATAAAACCACATGATTTCCACTATAACAAACATTATCAAATTTTTTAAAAGTCCATATAAAGAGATTTTATTAAAAAGTCCATTATAACGAACAAATTTTATTGTAAAGAGAATTGGGGAAATAAAAAAAGTCCGCCATAGGCAAAATCCATTATAACGAGATCCACTATAACGAGCTTTGATTGTATGTCGTTCGTTTATAATAAATTTATCTTGATATTAATATAACGGATAATGATGACCTTTGCTCTTTTTGGCTATTATAATTTTAATAAGATGAATTGCACATAATAATGCACAATTAATAATGTATTGTTATCATTAATGTACAATAATATAACAATGTATGATAATTAATGTATAATAATGTATGTTAATTAATGTAAATAAGAGATATGTAAATAAACAGTTATATAATACTGTGAATATTGTATGCGGGTTAAAAAATTGGATGTTCATGATGATTCTGTTATAACATTATAATTTATAATTAATTTTCTTAATACACATGTAAACTCAATAAGTCAGATGCAGCAATAATTATTTAAAGTGCTTGATAATATAAATAAATGAACAACTTATTGAGTTCACATGTGTATTATGTTTTTGTATTTTTTATTAATATTTTTAATGCAGGACATGCATGTCAAAAGATTAAAAAGTGAAGTTTCTTATAAAATTCACAACAAATACAAACAAGAATAGTAGATTATTGTAATGATAATGTTAACATTTTAAACAAAAGAATGTGTTTTTTTATTATAATCAATAGAGGTTGGAATTGTCCAAAAAAATCCTTAGTTGACTACTAATTGGTCAAAATTTCTTTAGTCAACTAATTAGTTGACTAATTAGTTGACTATTAATTGATTATTTTAGCTAACTATTTTAGTCAGTGTTGGCAATGACAGTTATTTAACTTTTGAACTGTCAGTAAAATATCTGGTTCAAAAAATCATTTGAACTTATGAACTTTGGTTCAAATAAAATCACATGACATAAATTGATTGATTTATGTGCACAGATCATATTGTCTAACCAAATTTGGAATTACATGCAAATAATTAAAAAATTGGGTTAGATAATATGCACGAGTTTGTTTCTATCACCTAAATTTTTAAACCAAGGTGTAAATAAACATTGTTCTTTCCTAAAATCAAAGTTATTAACTCTGGATCCAGAAAACAGTACATATAATAATAATATTTGATACTGTTTTCCATATTTGTAATGAACTTTATCAAATAACTAGTAGGTCACAATATATATATATTGCAACCTACTTATGTTAGACTGTTACCTACTTATGATTAGACTGCTACCTACTTATTTTATAGCTACTCATTTTGAACTCTAATAAGCTTGTTATTTGCTTCCTTTTAATGATTTGATGATATGTAGATCGCATTTGTATTGCCATTTAAGAGCCACTGAGACATGTGCCAGTGTGGCATGTGTTTTGCTTTTGCCTCGCATTCGAGTGACAAGCGTTTTGCATTTGCTTCGTCAAAGATGAGATGTTTATAGTATGCTCATCAGGTGATGTGTAGATTGCATTTGTATTGTCATCCGAGAGTTATCAGGATATGCAGGTGACTTGATGTGCGATTTCTATTTTTCACATCACTCAAATGACGATTGTAGCAAATTTTTGTTGTCACCCATATGTCATATAATGTACACAGGTAGACTCAATAAGTCGGTCCCTTGATAAGTCGGTTTTGGCCTAAGTCAGCCAAAATTTTTCAGCCCTTTTTTTCCCTATTTAAAATCCCTTGATAAGTCA